TCATTCATTCATTCATTCATTCATTCATTCATTCATTCATTCATTCATTCATTCACAATTAGTTGTATCTAGATGTCATAATAACTCCAATCCTTGACTTCAGATTGCACGGCAGGCACGTACGGAGAAGACTGCAAGTTCCTGTGTGCTCACTGCAAGGACGGAGACGGGTGTGACAGTGTGACAGGCGCGTGCAGTGAGGGGTGTGAGGAGGGCTGGTCTGGGGAGAAATGTGATCAAGGTGAGTAGAGCCTTCACCGGCTTTGTCTTTGCTTGTCAGATTTTATCTTTTAAAAAAAATAATAAAATGACTTGTTTTCTTTTAGATTTAGGATTGATTGTGTCACGATTAACACATTTTTGCGGTCCCGTCGACACACTTTTGACCTCTTAGGCACGAGACAAGAATTGCTTGGATGGGTGGTTGGCAGGTGCTCTGTTGTGGTTTGCTCCTTCTTTCCTATCAAACATCTACTGTCCTGATCTCCACTACTTCTTTTTGTGTGTGTGTTTGTTACTCTCTTGTGACACCTCTAATCTTCGGCACGTATGTGACCTTAGAGTGTTGCAAGTGTCGTAAAACGCTTACAAACAAACAAAAATTTCTTTTTTATTTTATCGGTCGTAGCCACCCCCCGCTTGATAAGACTTTACATTCTTGTTAACAGACGGACTTAACTCAACGAAATATTAAATCTTCCTGACACGCATTCCATGCGCAAACAAAAGACTTGATTCTTGCAATGCATAGTATCATTCTATTTAGTTGTTTCCTTCAAACGTCTCCAAGCATGACCTAGCCTCGAACAACAAACATGTTTAGCTTTGGAGGGTTTTATCAAATTGTGTTGAAAGGATAGCTTTTGTGCCTCCATGAAGAAAAGCCTGACCGCCTCAAATGTAACAAATATTGTGTCTCAGATGGAGATTTGACGAAAGGTACTGCAATGTGCACTGGTTATAACTTGTTGTCGTCTTACTTTTTTCTTGTGTTTTTAGAGGCGGGGGGGGGGGGGTACATGGTGACGTAAACCAGTCATGATTAGTGTCTGCGCCACATATTTTAATTCATTTTGTTTACATAAAAGAAGGCAATTCATTACTTATTCCGGAACCAAAACTAGTCAAAACAATCCTGATTACCGCGCCGCACTCGAATTAAATCGAGCTACAGCAACCTGTCAAATGACCTAGTAAATCTGTTCAACCATCCCTCATTTGGCACATTTCGAGCTACATCTTAACAGAGCTGAGCTAATTCTGAACTGGCACGATTATGCAAAGCATCGGGGTCATGGTATTGATTTTACTTTGCAATGAGGTAGGGCTTTGATGGGGTGTATAAGCGGTTTTTTTTTAACGTAGGCTTGGGATCAGATAGAAAGCAACATTTATTTCATTTCCCCCATTCACTTTAACGTAAATACGAATGCACATCTTTAGGCGATGTAGCTCTACGGCAAACATCTTCTCGTTCGGTCTCCCTGGATTGCCAGAATCATATACGTATTATAATATATAT